TAAGGCTGCGAGTTAGAAGCTTTCTTTGAACCTAGAGGACTGGGCTTCTGTACTTCTAAATATTATTCCAGTAGGAAGAAGAGAGAAAAGTGCATTCCCAGGAGGGTTTTGGTCTTCGATGATATTATTTGCTGTTCTGAGGCGGCGTGTGGTGAAAATGGTCTGCATGGAAGGGAGTTGTGTACCAGTGACGGCCTCAGCTGTCTCCACCACCTTCTGTACTTTTTTACATTCATGAGCTGAGCATTCGATATGTCTCGCACGTTTTGTTGCTCATGATTTATTGAGCGGAGAATCCCGGAGTACTGTGCCACGAAATGGCTGCGTTGTGTGTTCCAGACTCCCGCCACTCTCTGTGTAAAGCGAAGTGCTTCCTTTGTCCTATGGCCTTCAGACCGTTACTCACTTTTGGTCCTGAGTTAAACTACCAGGAGAAGATAAACTGCCTGTGCATCGTTGGCTCAGACAAAAGAATTATTGTTTTGTCCTTCTGCAGAAATTCCCACCATTTAAACTTCAGGCAGCACATTAGTGAGAGCAGTTCTGAAAGCAAGGGAGGGTTACACATCCAGGGCGCTCTGTGACCCCAGTGACCTCCCAGGCACCTGCAGTCAGGCAGTGACATCAGTGCAGGACAGGCCTCACCTCCAATCAGTGCTGACTCTCCTGTGTGACGCCGCGGAGCTCGACAGCCAGCTGTTCATCCTCAGAGGGGTTCCACAGCCCAGACTCTTCCAGCAGCCTTCCTCGTTACACTTTCACTGTTCAACCTCAGCAGGCTAGAGTGGCAGGGTTTTGAAATGAAGAACCTGAGCCCAGCTGTTTTTGTAACCCTGTTACTGGGTGTCTCCTTGAACAATACGGTATCGCGAGCCCGAGTCGTCCTCCGCACTGCTGAGGCTCGTCACGTTTGAAAGGCTCCCGAGTGATCACAGAGAAAGGTGCTGATCCAATTTACAAGATAAGAGAGACCCCCCCACCCTGCCTGTCACTGACTGGCTGTGTAATTGATCACGTTTCTCTACCTGTCTTCACTACAGACACATCTCCAGCTTCATGCACAACGTGCCCTTCCCCTCTCCACAGCGGCCTCGCATCCTGGTGCAGGTAAGAGTCTGGTGTGCCCACCTGCTGCGGGCGCCTCCCTGATCCCCCCATTGGTCACAAACCCAGTGGCCAGTTGCCTGAAATGCCTGTTTCATCCCAAGGCTCTGGGCTAAAGAGTTTTGCAGAGTGCTTTTTAATACCGAATGTCTGTGCGCTGTGTCAGTAATTGCCAGCCCCGGTCTTCGGACCAGCAGACACCTACACTGCCTTGCAAAAGTATTCACCCCCCTTGGTCACATTTTATTGCACTCCAGCATTGAACCATGATGTATTTAACTGAGACTTTTCGCACAACACAAAGTACTCTACAATGTCAAAATATCCTAAAATCATGTGAAACCCCTCAACTGCACACAGGTGGGCTCCAGTCAAGTAATTCTGTGACGTGGAGAAGAGAGTTGGTTATTTCAGAGCTAATTCAGGTGTGTCAAAGCAAGGGGGTGAATATTTATGCATTCAATTATTTTCTGTTTTTTATTTTTAATTAATTTTAGTAAAACGTCTGGGTTTTTTTTTTCAGTTCGACGTTATAGAGTACTTTGTGCTGATGATAAAATGTGAGGAAGTCCAAGGTGGGTGAATACTTCCGCAAGGCGCTGTAGCTACATTAAACGGGCTCCGTTGTGTTAGAAGGTCAAATTAAAGGTCAAAGGTCAGGTAAAATGAAAAAATGTACCTGCTAGAAAAATGAACGAGCCACAGGAGTTCAGAGAGTGGAATCGCGCAGGCTAAGGTGTTTTAGAACAGCAGTACTGTACTGAGCCTCTCAGCGAAGGTGATTAAAGAGGAGATGGATGCCCATGTGTTCTGACCGGCTCCACAGCAGCGCAGTGTCTCTGGGTTAAGAGAGGCGCGCAGAATTCCGGCAGCAGCAGAATGGAGGTCAGGAAGCAGTGAGAGGTGGTTTAATTACCGCTGCCAGGCCTGCAGAATGGCTGCCAGTGTCCTGGTTTACTTCGCCCGCTCTGCACTGTGCCCCTGGGCATCCCTCCTGCCCTCCTGCCTCCGCGGTGACGGTCTCTCTCCTTTGCAGCTCTCGCCCTACGACAACCTGTTGCTGTGCCAGCCGGTGTCCTCTCCGCTGCTCCTGAGGTAGGCCTTTGCTGTTGAGGTTCCTCGTCTTTCTTTCTCTCTCTGCTCCTGAGCACGGGCAACCGGCCGACTCCCCTGTTCGCAGGAGACGCTTTGAGTCAGGACAAGGTTACGCAGCTGGTCTTGCAAAGGCAGAAATGTCCCGGGCGGGTTTAAGCATCGTGTGGTGTGATGATTAGCGCTGTTGCCTTGTACGGTAGCTCTTGGGGCCCATAGTTTGAAACCTACTGGGGGTGGGACCATCTGCGTGGAATTTGCGTGTTCTCTTGTGTGGGTTTTCTCTGAGTGCTCCAGTTTCCTCCTCCATTCGAGTTTCTAAATTGCCCCCTTTAGGGGCAGGGAGAGCCGCTAGCCTCTCACATGGGTTGAGCTCACTGCTTTTGTGCACACCAAACTTTTGTCCGAGTTCAGTTTCAATGTTATTGTTCTCAGCTGAAATTAAATGGCTAGCAGAGGAAGCATTTTTTGCTGGAAAAAGAAATCCATTTGTCTGGAATTGTGAGCGATATACACCGACAGTGGTATACCAATCGAAGAACCTTGTGCAAGGTGCTGGATTCAAAATTAAATCAGTATAAAAGGAAACGTTCTTGCATGGCTGCTCATGTGCTTCATAGCTATTTAGTAAGTCAGAGCTGGGGAAAGTTTCATTCTCTCGAAGGATCTTGTTGGATGGAAACGGTAATCTGGCGTGAGGAATTTTTTGTATTGGTGATGGATACGTCAGTATTTTCCAGTGCTGCATTCTCATCACTTTTGGTTTCCCTGAATCCGATTAATTATCCGGTTTGGGTGCCAGAGTTTTAGATGTTGGAGCCCGTTCCCAGTGTGAGGCAGGAAGGGGGACACAGCCGAGCTGCTCCTATCCAAATTGAGCCAGATGATCCTTGCTGAGGGCTCTTGTGATGCCTCATGGTTAGAATTACCAGTGTATTTTGTAACTGGGACCTCTGGTTTCTGCATCTGTTCCAGCTGCCTCCTTGCCCTTAAACTTTAATTAACCCTCTTTGAAAGAGCTCGTCAGCTTCATTAAGATGGCAGCTACTACCTGCTGTCTGCTTGGGAACTGGATGCTTTCAGTGCAGCTTCAGACTTGCAACGGCCTCAAAAGTCATTCAGATACTCGGGGTCAGGCTGAGCCAGGTGCCAGATTTCCCATGAGGCACCGTGACTGAAACAACACGCTGGTGATCGGCTCGAGTTGCTCCAGATCAATAATCGGACGCTGCTCTAGACACCAGCAGTATGGAAGTGATGGTGGCTCGACTCGCTCCATCAATCAGGGGGGTTTAGCACTGGAATAGTTTCAAGTGCATCATAAGGAACAAGTAAAAGGTTTTGTTGAAAAGAGAAGAAAGGAAACGTTTCCGCTCTGGGGCCTTCTATAGGTGTGTGGAGTTCACAACCCAAGCAGGCTGCACAGGCAAAACGTTGTTTCCTTTCTTCTCTTCTCAGCCTGGAATAAACCTTTACTTGTTCCTTTGCAGCCTCCACCTGCTGTTGCAGCTCCCCTACCTGAATGAAAGTGCATCAACGTCATTCAATTGGCATTCATCCCTCTTTTTTGCACATTTCGGAGTGCAAGTGCCCAGGGCCTACGAACCCCCAAATCCGGCCCTGGCTAGGCCCTGCTGCTGCAGTGCGATGGAGCAACAGCTGGTGAAAATGTGGCCATGAGGCTGTCGATGCCTTGTACCGATACGAGAGCAGATCAAATCAGGTCTCGGAGTGAAGCCAATCAAGTAGTGGGCCAGTGACTGTAAACGTCACCTGGTAGCTTGACCTCGACAGCTTTTCCGTTTTAATTCTCAGCCTCCCTGGGCCGAAGTTTATTGGGGCGTCAGGCAATCAAAAAGCACTTAACACACAGATGGGGATCCACTTCACCCCCCCAGAGCAGCTGATCAGAGGGAGACAGGAGAGGTTGTTCCACCAGGTGAACTGGCAGACTGTTGCGGAGCAGAGACAGGCCACAGGATACAGAGAAAAGAGTCGCCCACAGTTGCGCCGTTTTTTAAGTGAAAGAAAGACCATGCAGACAGTGTTTTTTTTTTTATTCTGCATAACATTATTAAACTGTTAAGATGGTCAAAGCGTCTTTGTTTAAAACCTCCAGTCTGATTTGGAAGGCCCTACCAAGCTCTTTGGCTTTGATATATATATATATTTTAACTTCATATTTTACGACGTTTACATTTTCAGTTTTGTAGCAATAAAACGCGAATCTGTGAGGCCCAGAGGTGGCCGGGTCCCTGCCGGTTCGTTTGGGTGACTACGATGGGGCGGCAGGCGGGCGTCTGTCTCGCACCCGTGCCGAGGACGGTGCGGCAGCTGCTGCCGGTTCTGTGCGCCTGGTTTCAGGCTCCTGCCCTGGTCGGGCTCGGACTCGGGCGCTGGAGGCGCGGCAGCGACGCAGCGGGCTGGAGAAGGTCGCCCCGTTGAATTAATTTACGCAGGAAAGACGCGGGCAGGACCGTGAATTTGGCAGAGCCTTTAACGGTCTCCTGCCCGGCGGTCAGCTTGCGTGCGTTTGTCCCTGTGCCCCCACAGCGGCGCCAGCTTCCTGAAGCTGCTCCAGAACCTGGGCCCGGAGAACGCGGCCACGCTCCTGCTGGCGGTGCTGACGGAGCACAAGCTGCTGCTGCACTCCCTGCGGCCCGACGTGCTCACCTCCGTGAGCGAGGCGCTGGTGTCCGTGAGTGCCGCGCCGTGCCCGCGCCCGCGCCGCCGCGACCCGCCCCCGGGGGGCGCGCAGAACGCTCGCTCCCACACACGCTCGCGCTGGCCCATGGGATGCCACATTTTTCTTAGATGGGGGTGACCCCTCTCTCTTATCGGGCACCCCCCAGTTTAAAGGTGAAATCAAGTTTTTAGGCGATTTCATTATGATGTATAGATATCGATTGTAAAATTGGGCTCACTGCAGATCAGGAGCTCTCTCACACAGTCAGAGTTGAGCCAGAATGGATGAAAAAAACTCTGCAAGACGTGGGGTGGAGAGTTTACTGTTGATGCTTGAAACTGTAATAGAACAGGGATTAAGTGCCCCAGTCTTTTCAAGCGTATCTGAAGATGACAAGGACTGGTCTTTACCAAATCCATACGAGTGATCCCTCCCCACAGTAATCAATGATCCAGATTTTTTTTAATTTAAAAAAATCAAATTTTGTCTTAAATCTTTTTGCGATTTTAACCCAGTTGTCTGTGAGGAATGATTCTTTATCTACAAGGCAAACAGGTTGACAAAAAAAAATAACCTGTTTGGGGAGGGGTGGAAATTGTGACAGGCTCAACTATGGCCACTAACCCGAGATCAATTTGTTGTTGTTGCCAAGTTTAAAGACTTTTTGTTTTAACAACCCCACTGCAATCTCCTCTTCCGTAAAGGGGCACAGAGGACCAGCTTTCAAGGAGAGAGGTTTGGGAATAACACTTTGACAGGGCTGAGAAGGGGTGTGGACTGCGGGCCCTGGACGTATGCGTCTGGCCCTGCCCTGTCCACTCCCGGCGGGCAGTGGTGGCCGAGAGGGGGGCTGGGGCCTGCGGGCGCCTGCCCGCCTCTGACCCTCTCCTCTCCGTGCGCCTGCAGATGACCTTCCCCCTGCGCTGGCAGTGCCCCTACATCCCCCTGTGCCCGTTGCGGATGGCCGACGTGCTGTGCGCCCCCATGCCCTTCATCGTGGGCGTCCACTCCAGCTACTTTGATCTCTACGACCCCCCGGCCGACGTCATCTGTGTGGACCTGGACACCAACACCATCTTCCAGTGCGTGGGGGGTTTGAACGGTTTCCTGTTTCCTGTCGGTAGTTTCCCGGGCTCCTGGGAATCCGCTGGAATCACACCAGTAACACAGCGGGGGTACAGGGGCATCGGCCTGGTTTGAAGGGGAACTGCGACGGTGCTGTTATATTTTGGGGTTAGATGATGAGGGCGTTTCAGACCACACTAAGAGTAAAATGGACACAGTGACTTGTAAAAACCTCCAATGTACATCACAGAATAACTGGTATTTCCAGGCTTGCACAGCGCCACGTTCTGTCATTCAGAATGAGGCAACAAGACCTGACGTGTTGTGGCCTTCTTACACTGTAAACAAGCAGGCTTGTGAAAACACCTCTTTTAATCCAACAGAAATACTGCTCTCAATCTCCAGACTGTTTAGCTGACAAATACTCCTTACTTGTTAACTCTGGATACAGATCCCGTTGGAACATTTCTGCGGTGAAATGTCTGCTGCACAACCTGCACGTATTCGCTAGTGACTAGTGACTAGTGAGCAGGAAGGGCTGGGTCACGTCATGATTCTCAGACTCTCGACTCCACGGGAACTCTCGCTCCCTTCTGTGGAGAGACCAGGGGTTTGTGACACCATGGCTACTTACAGTACCTTCACAGAGTTCACGATTTTGTGCTCAATCTGAAATATGTCCCAATTTTTCCATATCATCAATGAATTTATTTTGTTACTGGTTTGAGAAAGTGGGACTGCAGTTTCCCTCTGAAAGGACGTACATGTAAACTTGGTTACTTCCAACAGTAAAAAGTCATTTCTTCCAGAATCTCATCTAAGCCATTTCTGGATGGCTGGGTAGTTTGTTCCAACAACCTGCCTTTTTTCAAATAGGATTCAAATCCTTTTGTATTGGGTCTCCTGCTGGCTGGCCTCACCCAGGTGGCTCGTGATGTGACCAAGGTGAGACCGGTAAATTCCGATGTCTCCCTTCAGGAGGCTTTCCTTTACACTAAGAGTGGTGGGGGCATGGAACACACTGCCCAGCCACGTTGTCCTTGGAACGTCAAGGAAAGAGTCCCAGCACGTTTAATGGGTTGAGTGCAGCTCCTCTCCTCCAGTTTCCCCAGCGTGATTGCTGTTCATCTGTTGTAGATCAGAGGATAAGAAGCCCCTGTCCTGGAGGTCTCTGCCCCGCAAGCACTGCAAGATCCTGCTGGCTTCTCTGAGCAGCCTGCATCAGCAGCTGGAGAAGAGTGAGTGCCTTCAGGACTCGGAGCTTTTCATGAGCACCTACATCAGGGCCTCTCCCTCTCTGGCTTAAGGGATAGCCCATCTCCTCTGCATGCTGTCCAATGTAAATGAAGGCTACAACCGAAAATCCTAGGAAAAGTCGTGCAGTGTGACACCAGCATTAGATTGTAAGGGTTTGAGTCTGTTAGAAAATGAATCGAGTAGCAGGTTGAAGAATGTAAACGAGGGGAAGTGATTTCTGCTGCCGGGCTCCAGGGTTCCTGAGTGTTTTTGGGAGGTGGGGAGGGCGTGACTTGTACGGCCAGCACTCATCGCAGACTCTTCCCCCCCTCCAGTCTGCAGCCCTGGCCAGGAGGAGGCCACGCTGGAGTTCCTGCTGACCGACTATGACGTGATCTACAGGCGGCAGAAGCAGCTGGAGCTGGAGATCCAGGAGGCCTTCCTGCGCTTCATGAGCTGCCTGCTGCGGGGCTACCGGGCCTTCCTGCTGCCCATCACCCAGGCCCCCTCCGAGAGGACCACGGACTGCAGCAGCCTCTTCAACCTGCACGGTGCGCCTGCCCGCTGCCCGCTGCTGCCCACTGCCCTCTGCTCACAGCCCACTGCTGCCCCCTGCCGCCCACCACTGCCCCCTGCCCGGCCTTGTCTGTGTCACTTACAGGAAGACCATTCCAACTGTCGCCATCAGTTAACCTAGCCTAATTATTATCTTTTTAATACCATGTCCATTTGCAGTTGCCACTCAAGTTTAGGCACCTTGTATCTGAAACAAATATGATCTATCCTACCATTTCCAGGACCTGGTCTAATAATGAGCTAGGTGACCAGAGACCAGTTCATTGTAGGGCAGACATGCACTCAAAGAGAATAGAGAGATCCCAGTTAACCTGGACAGAGTTTCTTTACACTGTGGGAGGAAACCGGAGCACCTGGAGTAGACTCACCCAAACCTGAGAACACGCAGACTCCACACAGAGCTTTCCAAGAGCTCTGAAGCAGCAACACTAACCACAGTGCTGCTGTACTGCAGGTGATTTATCTTTTGATCGTACTCCTGTTTCATCCAGGAGGGTGCGCTAAGTTATTCGTTCTAGATGCAGGGTGACTCTCCTCATACTCCCTTCCCCGTAAGTAAAGAGCTTGGCGGGGTGACGGAGATAATCTCCAGCTCTGATCCCGAGGCCTGGAGAAGAACGCTTACCCGGACTCTCCTTGCAGGGTTCCTGAAGTCCCGGGACCGGGCCCAGCAGAAGTTCTACATCCAGCTGACCCGCACTCAGATGTTCACCCAGTTCATCGAGGAGTGTTCCTTCGTCAGCGACCGCCACGCCTGCCTGGAGTTCTTCGACGAATGTGTGCAGAAGGTGGCTGTTCCCCTCTCTCGCTCTCCCCCCTCCCCCTCTCACCCCGGCCCATTCTCTTCTTGTAAATCTCTGGAGTTCTGTTCCCGGTGGCTTTAGAGGGAAACTCTGAGCTCTTCCAGCCTCCTCTTTTCCTCCCTCTCTTTCCCGTCTTCAGCAGAAACGTTACAAAGGACAGGAGGTCATTCAGCCGGTCTGGCCCGTGTGGTAGTTTGTAGGTAATCGATCTAGGGATCCATCCTTTCTTTTTAAAGGAGCCATGATTTGGGCTTTAACAGCATGACTGGGTAGCTCGTTCCACACTCCCACAACTCTCTGTGCAAAACAGCGCCCCCTGTTCTCAGATTCGTACACCAACACTTCCACCCCGTTTCCCCTTGTGACGTCTAGTTGCAAACCTGTTCAGAAGGCATGGGATTTATATGGGATTTATAAGATATATATTATATCTTAACTTATTAAATATTTGTTATTGCTTTGTTTCTCATTTAGAGTCAGGTTTGTAAACATAAAGAACAAGAATTAATATGCTGAGCTCTTTTTTTAATAATATGCAAGGTGTATCAGCTTTGACAGTATAACTGGATATCTTGCTCCATGCTCCCACAGCTCTTTGGGTAAAAAAGTGCCTCTTTCCAGTGCACTTCCACATAGTTTGCACTTGAGCCCTGTGGTCTGTGTGGGAAAGGGGCCTGAGTGACATACAGCAGTAAAGCCCTGGAGTAGCAGGAAGCTCTGTACAGGAAGGACTCTGGAGCCCATAACCCACTCCCAGTCTCTCTTCTCCCTCACTTTGATCGTGCTGCGTTGGCGGGGGTGTACCAGTAGGGGGCGATGTTGGAGGGCATTAACACCCCACGTGTCCCTGACGCAGGTGGACGTGGAGCGGCCGGAGGAGGTCCGGCTGATCGACCTGGACGAGAGGCACAGCGGGGAGCACACGGTCTTCATCATGCCCCCCGAGGAGCCCCAGGGGCCTGAGGGCACCGAGTGTCCTGCCCCCTACAGGTAGGGTGGCATCCAGGCGGGGCCACGGCCATCTGACCCGGGCAACGCTCTCCTCTCCTTCTCTCTCATACGCCAGTGACCTGTGTATAAATAACAGCAAGATGACCGTTGCTGCAGTGTGGTCAACCCTTCTGAGCCCTGAATGGGGGCGAAGGGTTTTTATCCAGGTGCAGACACCGTACCCAGAATGCTCCAGCAAAAGCACCTGTATAAATGCCCCCCCAACATGTGTGCATTTGTGTGTCACTAAATCGTAACCTATGGAAGTCACTTTGGAAGCATCAAGTCAGACGGATTGATATTGATGACACGTTTCTGCCTTTTCTCTTTGCATTTCGTACACCTCTGTCTTCATTCCAGACAGTGGGCAGTCCCTGTCCCCAGCGTAGGACAGGCTCAGTGTAGAATCAGGGGTTTTGGAAGAGGCTGCAGAGAATGTCGCTTGGCACTACCGGCAGATTCCGGGGAGCTTTACAGTGGGATTAACTCAGAGGTCAATTGGGACCTGTGGATTTAATTAATTGGAATTGGATTTATGTCTTGAAGCAACTACAGTGCCTTCCAAAGGTGGTGTCCCATTTTGTTTAATTAGATTCTGGTCTCTACCCATTTTTAAAGGAATAAGGAAAGGTTAATTCCACACTGAAATGTAGAGCGGAGAAATGCAGGGGTTTGCTGTTCAGATGGGAGAGAGGGAGAAGAAGGTGAAAGGGATGCAACGCACAGGAGAACTGGAACAGGGTCCAGACGAAGGGAATTCTGGGGCAGAGGTGTGAAATGCTGACATCTGTTTATTTTGCCCCTCCCATGTGGGCGTGTTTCTGCAGCTACGAGACGTTCCCCTCCCTGAAGGCGGAGCTCTTTGACAGGCCGCAGGATCTGCTGAGAGTCCAGGCTAAGGAGAGTGCCCCCAGCAGCCCCGCCCCTCGGCGCACTAAGCAGGTACCACTCGCTGCTGCTTGGACACGCCTCCCAGCTGATACACCCCCATGGAGGCACCCCAGAGACCTGAACTGGGAACCCCAGAAATATAGCCAGCAGTAGAAAATTACACTGGTTTACTTACTAGGCCTGTACAACCCCTTTTAATTTCTTCACATTATGGTCAGCCAGGTGCAGCAGCAGCTGTGTGCTGATGACTTAATTGTTGTGGTCAGTGTGACAGGAGAGGTGTAGGGTTTATTCCAGTTATAACATCATCAGAACAGTGACACACACGAGGAGGCCATTTGGCCCATCAAAGCCTGTTTGAGCTAGATCTCACCCAGCTGCTTGAAAGAAACCAGCTTCATCGACTGTTTAGCTTGTTCCACACTCCCACTACCCTTTGTGTAAAGACGTGTTCTTGGTATTTATTGTACTGGCCACTTGTGACCTCTGGCTCCTCATTCCCTGCTCTTCCTGAAGAGGGATGTTGAGTTTGTTGATGACTTTGAGGATTTTGAATACTTTTGATTCCTTTTGAATACCCTGTCGTCTCCCCTGTTCAGGACTGAGAACGTTCAGGTCCTTAAGTCTGTCTGTCCAGGAGGTTCCCTTAAGCCCTGGAATGTATCCGATTCATCCCTGAATTTCCTGGGAGCAGTAAGCACATTGCCTGGGGGTAGATATCGATATGGAATAGATACCCCATTTCCTGAGGGATCTGATCCCAGGCTGATCGGTAGACTGGTCAAGACGAGTTGCAGCCGCAGTCCCTATGGCTGTGAACTGTGACAGGAAGCAGCCTGAAGGGGGTTTCTCTCCACGCTCTGTTTTTCAGGAGATCAAGCTGGCACAGAAGCGGGCACAGAAGTACGCCTCTGTGCCCGAGATGTGGTCTAAGTGCCTGCTGGGCCACTGCTACGGCCTGTGGTTCATCTACCTGCCCACCTTCGTCCGGGCGGAGAGCGCCAAGGTGCGGGCGCTGCAGACGGCCTACGAGGTGCTGAAGCACATGGAGACCAGGAAGGTGGTGCTGCCCGACGAGGCGAGTTCTCCCTCTCAGTTGTGGAAGACTGCATTTCTGACCTTGACCAGCGGGCGGCGCCGGTGCACCAAGAATCGTACTTCTCCCTGACGCGAAAAAACAGTCCGTTTCCCGAGCTGTTTCGCCACTGAGGGATGGACAGACTGGATTAGGCCAGGAGAGGATGACGAGGCTGAGGAGCGAGATTGTGGGGTTTTCAACTTCAAAGCATGTCTGAGCTCTTCAGGTGCTAATGCTTTAAAGAGACCTGGAGACCCCGCAGACACACTGGATTAGGGTCAGGACCCCTGGCTTAGCGGGTCTGTGTCCTCATCTAATAATAGTAATAATAAGTCTCACGCTTCTGTAGCACTTTTCCAGACACTCCACTCAAAGCTCTTTACAGGTCATGGGGATCCCCTCCACCCCTACCAGTGTGTATCCCCCACCTGGATGATGCTCCAGTCCGCTCCCCACAGACCAGCTCTCAGTGGGGAGGAGAGCAGAGGGATGAAGCCAGTTCAGAGAGGGGGGTTATTAGGAGGCCATGACTGGTAAAGGCCAGGGGGGGAATTCAGTTGTGCAGGGAGATGCTAAGGTGTTGCCTCACATCTCCACTAGGAGTCCATCCAGAAAACAGCAGCCAGTGATCTGGGTCTTAAAGCATTGTGTCACACAGCCCAGTGGTGCTGTAACTCAGAGCCAACAGAGCACCCAGACTGGAGGATCCGTGGAGAAACAGGGATCTGAGGACACGGGCGTTAGTCTCTTAGGGAATTCTGTCCTGATCTGCGTCTGTAGCCAGGGTGGTAGGATCGCGTGTTGCTGCGTGAACAGCAGCTCCGTGCTCGTGCGGAAAGCAGGGGTAACGGGACGCGCCTCTGTGTCGGCAGGTGTGCTACCGGATCCTGATGCAGCTGTGTGGGCAGTACGGCCAGCCCGTCCTGGCAGTGCGAGTGCTGCTGGAGATGAAGAAAGCGGGCATCACGCCCAACACCATCACTTACGGCTACTACAACAAGGTGGGTGGCACCCGGCGCGCCCTCTCGTCCCCAGACACGGCCTCGGGCCAGGTGGCCCCACGCTCTGGAAGAGGCGTCCCCGCGGCTTGGAACAGACCCGCTGTGGGGCCTTGCTCAGAACCGGAACCAGCTGGCAGGGGGCGTGGGGTGTCCGGCGGTCTTCTTGTGAGCTGGCAGCACAGCCCCAGCAGCTGGACGTAAAATGGCGAGACAGAACTCCCGCTGTTCAAAAAAGATTGCAGTGATCTTGCGGTGATCTGCAGAGTGTCGCTAGATCGATGTTCGAGATCTGTTCGTGGGTGTCTCCTTCTGTTCCTTCGCTGTTGACTTTGTCCTGTGCGCCTTTGCAAAGCGTCTTGCGCAGAACAAGCCGTGACCAGCACCTGCTGAATGAGAAAACAGACATCCCAGCAGCTTCACGATAAGGAAGTGCTAAGGCAGACATTGCAGAGATCAGTTGTCTTTACTGCAGAAGAAGGGAGGGTTATAGTGGGGTTGCTGGAGAGTCTTTTCAGTCTGGATTTTTACATTTCTCTTGTAAATCAGAGGACGGCATCATGCTCCACTTTTGTTTTCTGTCGGTACTGAGGTTTACTCTTGGAAGACGTTAGAGGAATAAGAAAAAAACAGTCCGTAATGTGGCCAGCCCTGGTCCTGGAGAGACCCATAGATCACACTGAAGTTGTCAATTTCTTAGATCGGTTTCATTTTGACTCCAGAAGCTGATGATTAAGTCAGTTTAGTAGTTCAGATCATCTGGCATTAAAATGCCAACATCCTGTGGCTCTTAAGGACCACTGGGCTGGAATGGAACCAATAGACGTATTAAACTGATTAAAACTCTACTGCTTTGCACATTGATGATTTGGACCCAGGACTAGGGTTGGCCACTTCTGCCCTGTAGTTTTGCCTCTGCTGTTAGTTAGCTTAAAATGGAGCCTGCTGGGAGTTTTTGAAGACCTCTTGCATCATGAGGTGACGCACTAACCCGGGTGGTTGCACTGACCTGCACTCCCGCCCCCGTCCTGCAGGCGGTGCTAGAGAGCAAGTGGCCCTCCACCAGCCACGGCGCCCGGCTGCGCTGGGCCAAGCTGCGCAACGTGGTGCTCGGCGTGGCGCAGTTCCGGCAGCCCATCAAACTGCGCCAGCAGGGGGAGTCGCCCTTGTGTTCCCGGGCAGGTAAGGGCTCTCGCGTCGGGTCTCGTCTCTGTCCTGTGGGGGTACAGAAAGAGTTACGGTTGCGGGGTGCACAGAGGCTGCTCGCTTTCGGGGTCACCTGATATCAGTGGGAACAAACTGATAATCTGGTAGAGAATCTCTGAAAGCCCCACTCCCACTCCACCCTGATCAGGACACTCGCTTTCACTCCTGCTCACATCCCCTGCACAATGTGGAGAGCCAGGAGCTGTGAGGTAGCAGCTCTAACTGCAGCATCACCCTGCTGCCCCCCCCACTAACTTCTGCAGAAACATGTTAAAGATTCGGTACAATTTACCTTTGATTGCAAAATCTGCTGCTTCCTGTACGGTGCACCAACCGGTGAGGTTACGTTCGTGTCCTGCGCTCTGATTGGCCTGCCTGCAGATAACCTGGTCGAGCGTCCCCCGAGGCCCCGCCCCCACTCCAGCCTGGTTCGACAGTCCAGCTGGAGCGGCCTGAGTGAAGGCTCCAGCCACGAATCGCTGAGCGGCCCTCTGGTGAAGAGCAACAGCCTGAGCAGCATGCGAGGCCCGGCAGACAGTGAGTAGCCCACGAGAAAGCCCCGAGATTTCAGCTTCTGCTGTCGCCTCTGGTTTACCGACTCATTTGGCCGACGCCTTTATCCAAAGCAACTTACATCTGCACTCAGTTATTCGAGTGACTTGCCCAGAGGTACAACAGCAGTGTCAAAGCTGGGACTGGAAACCACAATCTTCCAGTTACCAGTCAAGACTCCATGCAGCTGCCCATTCAATACACTGGAGGTTCAGTACAAACAGAGCTCTTTTTTCAATATTTATACAATGAAGTGATGTCCCTTTTTAAATCTGATACATGTGCAATATTTATATTTATATGTCCGTGTTTCTTTGGTTGACACTTTTATCCAAAGCGCCTTACATTTGCTCTGAGTTATACAAGTAAACATTGTACTGGAAAGAACTGCTGAAGCCTTTCTCAGCGGTACAGTACCATTGCTATTGCTATGCCTTGAGCTCCACAGTGCCAGGGATGTTCCTGATGTTGCTGCGAGCTTGCCCCAGTGGGCGCTGTTGTAAGGAAATGCTCCGTGCCCACTGTACCCCACGGCTGCTGGGGGATACCAGTCGGAGACCTGACGTGAGCCGGACTGGAACCACAGGATTGGCTGATCCGTTCTGGACCGCCAGAAATTGGTCACTTTTAGTCATAGTGAGGGAGGGGAGGTAGAGGCAGTGATTTTGCGCTTCGGTCTCTTAATACACATTGGGCATTTTCCTGGAGGCCTCTGTGGGCTCTCCGTGTCTGTTTAACCATATAGTTGTTTTTGAGAAGCGGAACTTTGAGAAAATCAGAGGGAGTTTTCGGTAGATGTTCAGCTTTGCGTGGATCGGCTCGCTTTTAATCCCCCATCAGGCTTTCTTTAACCTCTGGCCTCATCTGGCAGAGTCCAGGGCGCTCCGGAAGACTGCCCGGCACACCGTGGGCGCCGACGGCCTGGCAGCGGCTGGCAAGCCCCCCGCCCCGGGCCGGCAGCCCCGAGACCCCACGCCCCCGGCCACGCCCCGCGCCCGCTACACCGTGGAGCGCAGCCAGGTCTGCCTGTCCACCTTCTACGCGGAGTGCGCCGAGCCCGGCCAGGCCTGCAGCTGCCAGCCAGGAGAGAGGCCAGACAGGTAGGCCAGCCCTCCAGACCCCACAGGCTGGGCCCACCGGTCGAGAGCAGGGCTGACCCTCCGGGCTTCTGCGATTCCGACACCACGGAGTGTAGCGTGCACTAGTGCATTCATTTCTTCTCTGTTGCAGTGTCCATTTTTCTTTAAAAAATCTGGAATGGCATGCCCTAGGCATGGTTAGCATAACTCACCAACAGTATAGGGACCTCAGGGGTGCAGCAGTGCGCCCCCTTTAGGGCACGCGGGTGGTGCAGGGACACTCTCGCCCATCTTTAAGATAAGATCAGATCACTTTATTAGCCCTATACAATTTCTCATATTAGGAATTTGTCTTTTCGCAGACACCAGCTTGCTCTCCATGAGACACACAGACAGGGAGAGAAGCTTGAGGTCAGAGCGCAGGGTCAGCCATTTATAGGGCGCCCCTGGAGCAGCTGGGGTGAAGGGCCTTGCTCAGGGGCCCAACAGAGTAGGATTCCTCTGCCGGCTGCGGGATTTGAACCGTCAACCTCCCAGCCACAGGTGCAGATCCTGAGCCACAGAGACACCGCTCCGCCCCGTAGGAACAGTCCTGAGCGCCCAGAGGAGCAGGTTAGAACAGAATGAGATCCCGCACAGTGGGACGGCCTGGGGCTGAGCTGTGTGGCGCGCATGAGGACGATGTGGTGCCCCCCGATTCCTCCCCTTGCAGCCGGCCGGCCGGGCAGCGGGCCAGCCCGGGCAGGAAGGCGGTGGACGAGAACTGCAACAACGTGCGCAGCACGCCCTCGCCCGGCCGCGGCCTGGCGGGCAAGCTGCAGCAGCTGCTGACCCCCACCAGGCACCGGGCGTCCATGCGGCGCACCGCCAGCGTGGACGAGCGCCCGGCGGCGGGCGGGGGCCTCCCCGGGCGCCGGGTCTCCGAGCAGCGGCAGTCGCGGAAGTCCCAGGTGGCGGAGAGCCTGCTGAAGGCCAAGGACCGGCTCCACCCCGCCGCCTCGGAGGTCAGTGCCCAGCTTGGTCACAGTAAACATCGTGCAATAAAAGAACAAGTAAAGGGTTATTCCCTGCGGAAAAGAAACGGCGTTTCGGCGGTGGAGCCTTCTTCAGGTGTTCGAACTCATCTTACGATAAGTGCACACTCGTGCAAAGTCGTGCAGTCTCTACTGTATACCAGCAGCCATCTCACTCTGCAGCTCCCAGCTGGCAGCCCCACTGGAGCTCAGCAGGTGTGAGCCTGGTCAGTACCTGGAGGGGAGAGTCCTGGGAAAGCTGAGGTTGCTGCTGGAAGAGGTGTTAGTGGGGCCAGCAGGGGGCGCTCACCCTGCAGTCCATGTGGGTCCTAATGCCCCAGTATAGTGACGGGGACACTATACTGTAAACAGGCGCCGTCCTTCGGGTGAGACGTAAAACCGAGGTCCTGACTCTCTGTGGTCATTAAAAATCCCAGGGAGTTTCTCGAAAAGAGTAGGGGTGTACCCCAGTGTCCTGGCCAAATTACCCATTGGCCCTTACCAATCATGGCCTCCTAATAATCCCCCTCTATGAATTGGCTACATTACTCTGCTCTCCTCCCCACTGAGAGCTGGTGTATGGGGAGCGTTCTGGCGCACTATGGCTGCTGTCGCATCATCCAGGTGAGGCTGCACACTGGTGGGGGTGGAGGGGATCCCCATTACCTGTAAAGCGCTTTGAGTGGAGTGTCCAGAAAAAGCACTATATACGTGTAAGCAATTATTATTATTATTACTATACCACACCAGTTTTTCCAGAGGGTGATGGTCCTTTATCAGCCAGAGCAAGTGGATGCTGGGGCTGGATTTGCACGATGACAGAGCCCTTCAAGGCCACTTGCTGTAGTGCATGTCTCTTTCCCCTGTCCCGGCTCTGAAACTGTCCAGCCCTCTGCAGGACCGCGGGGATCAGGGATTTTCCTCTCCAGTCCCCGTACAGGGCCCACAGTCCCCTCCAGCGCTCGTCGGCCTCGGGCTTCATCCTCCCTCTTAAGGTCTGCAGAGGTCCCTCGCTCCCCACTCTGGGGTTGCGAAGACCCCAAGTTTAATACCCGGTCACCGGCACACCGCTCGCTCGCTCGCTCCTTGGCGCGGACGCTCGGCGGAGAAGCAGACCTCCTGCGACCCGCTGTCATGCTTTCCCGAACCGAAGGCTGGCCGAGGAGCACAAGCTGTCTCCCTCTCTCCCTCCGCAGAGCTCCCTGTCCGTCGGCAGCGACGCTGACCTCTCGGACGCCGCCTCCGTGACCCTTCACCTCCGGACCTCGTGGGACGCCGCCCAGGAGGCCAGCGGGCTGGAGGTGAGGCGATGTCCGTCGAGCAGGGAGGGTTCTGTGCGGACTTTACCAAGCACCTTAAACCTGCACGTTAGCTAATCGTATGAATTCAGATTAAATTGGATGGGTCGGGTCCCATTTAAAGTGTCCCCCCTAAAACCATAGACCTCTGACCAGCAAGGAAAAAAAGACTGTACTTGAGTGAGACTAACACACACCATCGTTACTCTTTCATAAACAGGTCACGACAAACATGTATAGCAAGATAGAGCAGCGTAATACTTCGGTGATGTTCCAGCGTGCAGTTATTCAGAATGGGTTATAACGAGGCATTGTTGCAGCGAGAAGCTAAGAGCTGAGCCCTAGGGAGAGCGCACCCCAGTGGAAATGGTGGGTGACGTCGTTAGAGACTTGAGAGCTGACATTCTGTTTCTTATTCATATGCCAGCAGCCATCTCACCCTGGAGCTCCCAGCTGGCAGCCCCACTGCAGCTCAGCAGGTGTGAGCCAGGTGTTAGTGGGACCAGTAGGGGGGCGCTCACCCTGTGGTCTGTATGGGTCCCAATGCCCCAGTATAGTGGCGGGGACACTATACTGTAAAAAGGCACCGTCCTTCGGATGAGATGTCAAACCGAGGTCCTGACTCTCTGTGGTCATTAAAAATCCCAGGGTGTTTCTCTAAAAGAGTAGGGGTGTAACCCCGGCGCCCTGGCCAAATTTCCCCCTGGCCTTTACCAGTCATGGCCTCCTAATAATCCCCATCTCTGAACTGGCTTCATCACTCTGCTCTCCTCCCCACTGAGAGCTGGTGTGTGGGGAGCGGACTGGCGCATCATCCAGGTGGGGCTGCAGACTGTTGGAGGGGATCCCCATGACCTGTGAAGTACTTTGAGTTGAGTGTCCAGGAAAGCGCTATATAAGTGCGAGGAATTATTATTATTATTATTATTATTATTATTCAGTGGATTTTTTCGAAAGTGTCTGCACTGTTGTTGAGCCTCCTTAAAGCAAAGCGTCACTGACACAGTGCCTCGATGGGAAACGGTGGCGTTGTGCAGGAGCAGGGTCAGAGCGCCGGCGAGGGGGGCCGTGTCCGGCCGTGCCCGGCAGCCGCTGACCGTGTCGCTCCTGGTGCAGGTGCTGATGTCCAGCTGCAGCCTGTGCCGGAAGTGCAACTCCCTGGTGTACGACGAGGAGATCATGGCCGGCTGGACCTCCGACGACTCCAACCTCAACTCCACCTGCCCCTACTGCACCTGCACCTTCGTGCCCCTGCTCAACGTGGAGATCAGCGAGCCGGGCCCGCCCACCAGGTGGGCTGCCCTCGCCCCTGGCGCCCTCCGGAGGCTCAGGGGCGATCTGAAAGCCGGGGAACCTCTGGCCTCCTGTCCAGGCCTCTGGAGAACGAAGTGAAAGTACCAGACCTGATTTGGCCCCCCAATAGGATGTTCTGATACCCCATTTATACAGCTGGCTGACGAGACTAGAGCCCTTGTGGTAAAGCACCACACTCAGATGTGGGACTTGAACCCACAGCCCCCTTGCTATAGGACCTGAGACACAGTTCCTACTCCCCACTGCCCCCTGCTCACTTCCGCCCCCTGTAGGAGGGCAGATGGTTAGTTTTCTGAGCCCCTTATCATCTGGGCAGTAGCTCTTTTGCCTCCTTGCCTCCTGTAGCTGCTCTTACATGAACTTTGGCGTTTATTTGTGCGACACCTTGTCTTCAGTGTGCCGTCTTCTAGTGAGGTTGGAAACAAGTAAACTTCATCTGGGGTCAGTCTCATGCTAACATGCCCTAGCAGGGTCTCTCTGTGTTCTCTCTGGGCACCCAAGGGTGATATTTAGTAATGTTGCAGGCCTTCTGAGCAAAGAATGACGGCCTCGTCTTAGTGATGTTTGGACACCAGGGGAGGTGAATTCTGTCTGACTCATCCTGGGTCCCCTGTGGGCGTGTTTTTGTGCGTGTCCAGTTCGGAGCGAGACTCTGTCAGCGCGGAGGAAGGGTTTCCGCCCACAGATGGCGGCACGGCGCCCCCTGGTGCCCTGACCGCGTCGGTGCGCCACCTCTACAACGGGCTGGACAGCGAGGACTCGGGTTCTGAGACCAGCGGGCAGTCCGAGACTAGTTCTGCGGCACCGGTACGTAACCCGCTCGCTTCTTCCCTCTGTAGGAGGGCAGATGTCAGTTTTCTGAGCGCTGTTATTTAGGCTGTAGCTCTTTTGCCTCCTTGGGGAAGTATGCAGAGTGTAATCCAGCAGATCACAGGGGAGCCGGAGTCTATCCCAGCAAGCAGTGGGCACAGGGCAGGGCACACCCTGGTCGGGATGTCAGTCCATCATCAAAGGGCAGACAGACACAAAAACACTCAACCCAGGGCCAGTTTTCTCAGAAGCCAATTAACCTACCAGCATGTCTTTGCCCTGTTGGAAGAAACCCACGCAAACACAGGGGGAACATGCAAACTCCACACAGACAGCACTCCAGGAAATAAACCCAGCGTCCCAGGCTGCGAGGCAGCAATGCTAACCACTGCTCTCGGCTCATCTATTTTATGGCAAAGGAACAGGTAAAGGTGGAACAAAACCTTTAGCTGTTCCTTTGCAGTGTACGCCTGCTGACGCAGCTGTTGGGTGGTAAATCTCCTGGCTAACAGTGGTGTTTTGCCTCTGGGGCTGGCTGCAGGCCCCCGCAGCGGGCGGGCCCCCCCTGGTGACGGTGGCGTACCTCAGCCCCCTGGTCCTGCGGAAGGAGCTGGAGAGCCTGCTGGAGAACGAGGGCGAGGCCGTGCTGTCCCAGGGCCAGCTGGTCGACAGCCACTCCATCATCTTCTGGAACCTGGTGTGGTACTTCAGGCGCCTGGGCCTGCCCAGCAACCTGCTGCAGCTCATCCACTCCTCCCAGCTCGCCGCTCACCTGTCGCAGGTAGGCCACCCCCAGTCGCAATAATGGATCGGTCACTTGATTGATCAAGCAAGATGATGATCTCAAAGCGCTTGATGAAGTCAGTTTTTAGGAGGTCATAGTTCCAGCACAGGCTAGGAACTGCCCTCCCACATTTGTAGAGAATGACATTACATAAGAATGCCCCAACCTGGCCAAAGTGGTGGGAATGGCCTGTTCTGTGGTGCTTTCTATGGGATGTAAAGTAATAGCAGACCAGGCCTTTGGTGTGTTACGGAGAGGAAGGCTGATGATGGCAGTGCCCTCACAAGGACATGACTGTCTCCAGTGCTGTCACTGAGGGCAGCAGCAGGCCTGGCTTCAGGTGTTTTTTTCAGATGGCTTGAAAGTTTTCAGGCAGTAAGTATCAGCTATAATAACACCCTGCAGCCTGAATTGGCCTTTTTTCAATCTCTGTTGAATCTGCCGAACCAAAGCTAGACGTGGCAGTGGGACTTGAAATGAATATTTCAGACTGTCCGACAGTTGGTGGTATTGTCTAAAATAATGGATAGATAAAACTTTATTGATCCCGTAAGGAAATTGATGTGTTACAGCAGTCCAGCCCAAGACCAGCAAAAACAGACAGCAGAATAGACGAAAAGTTATACAAAATAAATATAAAATAAATAAATACATAGGTGTGTGCAAAATATGATGATCATAGTTCCTGTAAAAACAATAAAATATGTGCAAAATGTGCATGGGTATATACAGACTGATTGTCCAAAAAGTCCAATGGAGCAACATGCTGTCCATTGACGAGCAGATGAAGGGCTAACAGTCCTAGCCTAGGGCAGTGTTATACACCCTGACAGCCGCTGGGAGGAAAGACCTGCAGAAACGTTCCCTTGAACACCGTAGCTGGAGCAGTCTGTTGCTAAAAGTGCTCCGCTGCCCAGTAACAGTCCCATGAAGCGGATGAGAGGCGTTGTTCATGATGGCTGATAATGAACAAATAATACACTGCAGTTGCTAACCAAAGTGTGGTATCCGTGTTTGTGTAAATGTACACTGAACCCCTTGTCCAGAACTGTGTAGATGGCAACATTTCATTGTGCAGTTAAGTTTTTAATTTGACTGGGCTTTTCCTTTATTCTGTGGCTGTAGCCGAAATGGGGATTTTTTTTTTCTTCCTGGGACACAGGCATCGGAAGGCTCCGCTTGGAGGGTGCGCTTGCTCTGGGACACCATCACCCCCGACACTGACCACTGGCCCCCCCTTTACGTCCTCTGGAGGATACACAGTAAGATCCGCAGTTTTTCCGAATGAACATGGCTCCCCTCGAAAGTGTCGCCAAGGTGCATTCATCGTCACCCTGCACAAAACCAGTCAGGAATGATTTGCATACCTGTAATGGTATATGAAATGGGTGGCATGGCGGCACAGGTGATAGGGCACCCTGACCCTGCTCTGGGACCCAGCTGGAGCACCTGCGACGCACTCAGAGAGGCAGACCGACAGACCTGAACTGCTCTCTCCTACAATCCTATCGGCCGAGTTCGGGCACAGATCTTGCTCTTCGCACAGGGCTGGTTCCAGGCCGGGCAGCGCAGTGGTCAGCACTGCTGCCTCACAGCGCTGGGGCCCTGGGTTCAAATCTGGACCTGGCGTGCTGTCGGGGTGGAGTTCGCATGTTCTCTCTATGTTCACATAGGTTTTCCCGGGGGGGCTCCTTCCACAGTCCAAAAACATGCTCGTGGGGTAACTGGCCTCTGGGGAAACTGGCCCTGGTGTGCGTCTCTGTCTGCCCTGTGATGGACTGGTGTCCCTTCCAAGTGTAGCCACCCTCACGCCTGTTCCAGGCTGGGATAGCTCTGGCTTCCCCGCGACCTCGATTTGGAAGAAGCAGATAGAAAATAGATGGACAGATAGTGTGGGAAATCCCTGTAATTTGTATACCTGATGTTACTGGGCCTGGAAACAAGCTGGCCTGTGCGCATCTGGCTTCTACACTGAGAAAACGTTCCAGAGCCATTTTACTCTTGCCCAAGAGGATCTGTCCGGAGACCGGAGGCCTGGCCGCGAGGGTGGCTAAGAGTTATAAGAAGCGAAATTCCATTTCTGTGCCAGGGAATAAGCCGTTCCTGCACTGGCACCGGAAAGCATCTCTGCTTCCTGCTGGAATATCCCGTTTCCGGGGAAAGCAGTTCGAGCGTGCCTGATGCCCCTCTGTCTCCGCCCCAGGCGGTGTGCCCATGCGACACCACAGCTGGCGCCGACACAACCACCCCTTCACGCTGGGCTTCCTGGAGGAGGTGCTGCGCTGGGTGGGCATGAACGAGGTGCACAAGGCCGTGTCGCTCTTCCTGGAGACCGTGGGCAAGCAGCCGGGGACTCCCCTGATCCAGAGGTGAGACCCCACCGCGTCCTCGCGGACAGCCGCGCGACTCGGGTAAAAGCCAGCGGGACGTTTCTTGATTGTGATCCCCAGAAACAGCCCTCGCACTTCTATAGCACTTTCCTGGACACTCCCCTCAAAGCGCTTTAGAGGTAATGGGGATCCCCTCCACCACCACCAGTGTGCAGCCCCACCTGGATGATGCTCCAGTCCGCTCCCCACACACCAGCTCTCAGTGGGGAGGAGAGCAGAGTGAGGAAGCCAGTTCAGAGATGGATTAGGAGGTATTAGGATGGATTAGGTATTAGGGTTATTAGGAGGCAATGATGAGGGTAATTTGGCCAGGACACTGGGGTAACACCCCTACTCTTTACGAGAAACACCCTGGCATCTTTTTACAGTCTAGTGTCCCCATCACTATACTGGGGCATTAGGACCCACACAGATCTTGGGGTGAGCGCCCCCTACTGGTCCCACTAACACCTCTTCCAGCAGCAGCCAGGTGCAGGGTGATATGGCTGCTGGGAGTCATAATCAAGAAAGCAGTACAGATCTAGCTGACAAAAGATTCATACAAAATATAAATGTATTATTGGTCAGTAGCAGTTTGTTACTATATAAAGTGTTATCAAGGTGAGAAAGTTATAAGAGATCACTTTAATCACTTTATTACCCCCTTACAATTTCTTGCATTAGGAATTTGTCTTTTCACAGACCCCAGCTTGCTCTCCATGAGACACACAGACAGGGAGAGAAGCTGGGGGTCAGAGCTCAGGGTCAGCCATTTATACAGCACCCCTGGAGCAGTTGGGGTTAAGGGCCTTACTCAGGGGCCCAATGCAGTAGGATTCCTCTGCCGGCTGCGGGATACGAACAGGCAACCTTCCAGCCACAGGCGCAGATCCTTAGCACAGATCCCTAATTAACCAAGACCACTGTTCTCTTTCATGAGGCTAAATCAGGGCAATAGGACACATGAGTCACACCTCTACTCGAGAGACCCTGGAGAAACCCAGGCCAGCTGGCAATTCACAAAACAGCAAAGCGGCTCTTGAAGGTTTAATTGTAAACTCCTAACAAGAAGCCGTGTTGGCACTGTGGTAACTGTGCAGGTGTGTCTGTTCTTCCCGCAGGGGTCTGTATCGGGAGTTCCTCTTCCTCACCCTGGCTGCTATGGGCAAGGATCATGTGGGTAAGATATCTGGACTCCTCTGCCTCACTCGCTGCTTTCCAGTTTATACATACACACCCAATTTAGAATGGCCAGTTCATTAAGAGCCCATGTTACGATGGGGGGAGAATGGGGACCTGTCCTGTCAGAGCCATTTCTGTTTTTGAGGTGCCGGGAGCTCCACAGCACCGTATGGGTGAGAGGACCCTGACATTGCTGCTGGCTTGCAGGCCCGTTTCAGGAACGGGGTCCCCTGCAGCAGCTTGGGTGCTAATGACAGCACCGAGCAAGCACCTCATGGGGTTAAGCACAGGCTCTGACATTGGTATCCTTGTATACAAACAGTAGCAGGGCTCCACAGGGGATTTGAACCCAGTGCCTCATAGTTTTGAGGCCAGAACCCTAAACACTGCCTCACTGCAGACACTCTTCATGGATTGATCACCTTAGTGGTGCAGTATAGAGCAGCTCTTGTCATGAAGGGGAGCCCTGATGCAGCTACAGGTAGTTCGTGGTCAGTGAGTCATCAAGGCCCGAAACAGGTGGTTTGACTTCAAGGATCTGACCAGCTGACCAAGTTTAATTAAGCAATTAAGACCAGCTCATGGGATAAGAACAAGAGGGGCCCTGCTGCTCTTCAGCCCGTCCCCAGATGTAGAGAAAGAGGTCAGTTAATAATAATAATTAATAATTCCTTACACTTATATAGCGCTTTTCTGGACACTCCACTCAAAGCGCTTTACAGGTAATGGGGACTCCCTTCCACCTCCACCTGGATGATGCGACGGCAGCCATAGTGCGCCAGAACGCTCACCACACATCAGCTATTAGTGGGGAGGAGAGCAGAGTAATGTAGCCAATTCATAGAGGGGGATTATTAGGAGGCCATGACTGGTAAGGGCCAATGGGAAATTTGGCCAGGACGCCAGGGTTACACCCCTTCTCTTTTCGAGAAACGCCCTGGGATTTTTAATGACCACAGAGAGTCAGGACCTCGGTTTTACGTCTCATCCGAAGGACGGCGCCTGTTTACAGTTTAGTGTCCCCGTCACTATACAGGGGCATTAGGACCCACATGGACCGCAGGGTGAGCGCCCCCTGCTGGCCCCATTAACAACTCTTCAGTTAATGAAGTGAATGTCTTCTCTCTCTCTCCCTCCAGCTGCTTTCGACAAGAAGTACAAGGCAGCCTACAGCCGGTTGAGCGGCTCGCTGGGCAGGGAGGAGCTGCGCAGGAAGAGGGCGCAGCCGCCCAGCCCCAAGGCCGTCGACTGCCGCAAGTCCTTCCTCATCCCCCTGGAGTGCTGATCCCTGCCAGGCCACCAGGGGGAGCCACAAAGGCACCGGGCAAGAAGGAGGCAGAATGTACTATCCTGGGCAGTCTTTACCCTGCTCCCTTACTTCTTAGACGCCAAAGCCCTGTTTCTTCCAAACTGTTTCAAGGGGGTGTTTTTCGATCTGTGGTGCACTTCCTTGCGAAGACCCAGTCTTTACACCCTACACACTAGACCCTGACCTGTCCGCTGTCCCCTAACCTCTAACAATCTAAACCTCTGTTCTGATGACAGGCCATCCTGCAGCAGTAGTCTCCGTGCCTGATCATGATGTGATTATAGGAGTCTTCAATTAGCAACTAATGACGCCCTTCACCATGACTAATTAAGACTAATTAGATCCATGAAAGCAGCTTCATTGGCATGAAAGACCAAGAATGAAAAAAAACAATACCTACCTAGTCCCTCCATCCTGTCCCTCTCCGCTGTACAGCCCAAATTCCCTACGGATTGCTTTCTCCGACTCCGATCCCAGTTGCCTGCTCAGCCCCTGCCCTCAGTCACGGCTTCCAGGAGATCGCCGCAGGTGGGCCAGCGGACGCCCTTGTCCAGAGACTCGGACCAGGAGCCGCTGCCCGGTTTCCCCTCGCTCCGGCGAGGAGTAAGGTACCAGCTGAGGCGGCACAGCCTGCCGGGAGGCGGATGCCCTCTGAGAGGGAGGGAGGCCGTGTGCGTGTGGCGGTGGTTTGTGGGAAGGGGACTTGATCCCTGAAAGACGGTCAAACTGGACAGCTGTCCCTCCCTCCCCTGCCGCTCCTCCCATGTCCCCCGGCAGTCCCCGGAGAGAGACAGAATGACTTTGAGTTAGTTTTATTTTTCGTTCCTTGTGATGGATGAGGCTTACTTCACTGTTCTGGTTTTGTGGGGAGGGTGTTTGTAAACCAGATGGCAGCTCTGTACTATTCTGGAGGATTTCCAGGTGACTGACTATCCCGCGCGTCTTGCTGGTTGTTTGGAATCTGACTTGGGCCACAGGCAGTGCCCTGGTGCACACCTCTTTTTTTTTTTTTTGCTACTCCCGTAAGGTAGAGATGAGCCATTTATCTCGATTTTCCCATTGATTCTGTGAGCGCTGGATTTGTTAAAACGTTGTTAAGCCAAGCGGCTCATCCAGTTGAGGCAGCAGCTCGGAGAGCAGGTTGAAGCCTGCGATTGAAAGGTCACGGCTTTGAGTCTGGATAGAGCTGCCAGCAGAACGTGACCAGGATTGCCCTGGCTGTGGCGCACAGTCGGCGAAAACACCAGCAGGGCCAGGGTTGAAGGTAGCTGGCTTGAGCCCCCCTGGCTTTCTGGCCGAGGATCACTCAGACTTCCAATGTGCACTAACTCCTTGCAGCTCCAGGAATCGCAGCTTGCTGGAGAACTGAGTCTTAAAACAGCTGCCAATTGCGGTGTTGCAGAAACTCATGTAAGATCTCCTGCCCTTCACCTGTTTGCCAGTCCCTGCAGGCCTGAAAAGTAGGCAGAGGGGGGAGAAAGGCGGGAAATTATTTTGCGAGCAAATTCTTTAATTGGATTTCTTCTGGTTTCCACCAACACCTCAGATCCCATTACGAGTTTGTGTGGACAACATGAATAGACAGACTTGGCTTTCTGACTATGAGGGGCATCGTTATGTGCCTGTACTGCATCTAATGACTGTTAAATATTAAAGCCAGTACAGAGAACTCCATAGTCAGATTAACCCCTTTCACTCCTGAAAGACAGAGAACGTGAACTAATGGCATTAATGGTGAAGGAAATTCCTCCTGACCTTGTAGAATCCTCACCTTCCTTTAACCGCAAGAGTTCACATTTGTATTCTGTTGCATTTTTAAATGAATGCTTTGTGTGCTGTAAAGAGTCAGCCACAATGCTGTGAGTATTACAGGCTCTTTACTCTCCATCATTAAAGACAATGGTGCACAACTGCTTTTGCAGCTGAGACAGAGGTGACCCATTGATTCTGTTGATTCTGTGTGCATTAGACATGTTAAAACTGGACACTGAACTGACCCTTCCAACAGCAAACAAAGGATGTTCTCCTTCCTCTAGCTGTCACGTCTGCCTATTCATCTCTCCTCCTAATAAACTCCTAATAGGTTCTGAGCCCCGAGGAAGGGGGTGGCACTGATCTACGCCTTCCAACACGTTCAGGACTATGCAGTAGTCTACCAGTCTGCTCCATTACTCCATTTACTGTGCGACGAAGAGCTGCGTTATGTCTTTGCTCAGGGCGAGGACCAATACAGCAGTTAAACAGCCAGTTGCATGTTCCTGGCTCACTGGGTGGTGGAGAAAGTGAAGAGAGGGGTTGTACCAATACAAATGCAAAGGGATCAAGAGGAAGTGGGGATGGTATTTTGCTCCCTGCTGATCATCTCGAGAGCTGGGTGAGCCTTGCACGATTGACAGGTCTTGTGTAGCCCAGATTTAACATGTAGCCCTTCCAGTCCCCTCCTGTGCAAGGCCTCTGTACTGCCCACACCTGTATTGTTCCATTAATCCTCCCGAAAAGCAGTTAAGACGCGAGGAACTGATCGATGGACAGGTCTCTAATGGAAGGAGCCACAGGTCACGTCCTGCTGCCTTAACTTGCCTGACACCCTACGAAAGACGTGCATTTTGACCACATCATTTTGAAAATCAGTCTTTAAGATTGCCATGAAACCAATAAGTGCAGGCAGGCATAGATCAGACATCTGCGCTCCCTGTATCCCCAGTTAGCCAGCAACAGCAGTTGGAATGGGGTTGGGACCTGGACTGTGGTGGTGTTGGGGAGGGTGCTCACCTCACCTCACCTTGCCTTGCCTGATCATAGGATTTGGGGTGAGCAGGAGACAGTGCTTTCTGAAACAGAGGGGTGTCTCCCTTCCCCCTTCATAGATCAGGGTGATCATCCAGGGCCGAGGCACCGGCTTTAAAGAACAAACGGGCTTTTCCAAACTGCAGTAGGAATCTGGCAAAACAGGGATTCTGATTGGATCACAGCGTCTGATATTTTTTGCATCTGATTTGCTGATTTGAGCTAGATCAATGCCAGCATCCATTTGCTCCCCACAGGCTCATAAGGATTCTGGTCCCCCTGGGGCTCAGAGTGCCTTGTGTGAATCGATTTCTGAAGCCGTTGAAGAGATCAGATTCTTTAAAGCAGGCAGGGCTTCAGTCCCAAGCAATCAGTCCAGCTAAATATCTTCCTTTTTCGCCACTTTATTGCGGTCTGATGACCTGAATCTGGCAAAAGCCAGCTCTGAGGTCACGAGGACCTGCTTGGAACTCATTTTTAGAGTCTCATGTTTCACTTCGTTCTGAAAAGGGACTGTAAAAGCAAAATACAGCCCTCGCCCAGCAGGGGGCGATCTTACCGCCCCGCCCCAGTGAGGTAGATGTAACAATGGTCACTCAGTTTGCCAATACTAATTTGCTCGTGCATTTTTAAAGGAAACAACGATACTTCCGCGCTTTCTTAGCTCTATTGTTTTAAATGTGAAACCACTTCGGACCCTGCTTTTAATGTGTATCGACTTTTTTTTTTTTAGTTTTCGTTTTTTGGGGGGTCAGAAGATTTCAAAGCTAGCTTGAGAAACATAAGAAGGGGAAATTCTATACATTTTATTGTTTTTATTTTTGTATGGGAAAAAAGAGGAAAGCTTATTTAAATATTTTACTTTTCACGTTGTTTCGCTGTTGTAATTTATATGCCTTGTGGTTTCTGTTATAAATGTCTTGGTTTTTTAAAAAAGTGTTTTGGTATTTGCTCGTTTTTTAGCTCACGTTTAGCTGTAGTTTTACACTTCACAGGGGATAGGCTCTGACAACATTTCTTTACGCTTTATTAACAAACGAATATCGGTTATTTTACAAGCATCCTACACAACGATAAAACTTTAATAGTTTTTTTTATTATTAAAGGATAAAACTTTAGTTCGTAGGGGGGCGTTCTTTTTTAAACATTCGTGGTAGGGGGGAGCTACAATATTATTTAGTTCAGGAGTTTAGTGTTTAACAGTCATTGACGATAGGTAACGCATGCGTTGATGAGCAGGTCTGCTTTCCATATGTGAGTATTTTATATCGAAATATTTTTTCTAGCTCTTAAGATGGCCGGGTCATTAACAAGAATGATAAACTGAAAAGACGAAAACAAAATATAGAACACCGTTTGCTCTCTACAAAACAGGATGCGCATTCTACGGTGAATCCGAGAACAACGACGTAACTGAGGACAGAGATCACAAATAAGAAAGGTTACAAATCGAGAGTTTAGGCAGTCTGCTTGTCAAACAGGAGTGAATTGATAAGATTCTGTAAGTTATCACAGCACCTGCATTAGAAACACAGGGGCGTGGTCAGTGAATGAGTGATGTCTGACAACATGGAACGAGCCAATCGCAGTGCTTTTAGTCATGAGGGTCACGCCCACCTTCGGCGGCATGCCAACGTGCGTGATTGGCTCTCTGTGGAAGGCGGGCCCCTCTTTATATTGACTGACTGCAATATCAGCCAATGGAGGGTCATTAAACCTACTTCCTTTTCGGTTAGGAGGCGGTGCTTGCGTGTTGGCGGGCTGCTGGAAAAACAACTGCAGAAGCGATGGAGGAAACTGCGCAGCACCTTTCGTCTGATCCGGAGCAAATGGACTGCGAAACCCAGGCGAGGGCGGAGGACGGTGTCGGAACCGGGGATTCGAGTAGCGGAGAGGCTCCGGGCTCGTCCCGCCCTGCAGCGGCCGGGCCTCAGGCGGGTCAGGGAGGAGATGTCTCGACCCAAATGACCGATTTAAGCAAAGACAGAACCGAGCCCAAGCCGGCCCGGTTAAAAACGTTCAACAGGGTGATGGAGAGAAGCTTGCAGAAGCTCATCAACGACATCAGGTGAAAAGTGAAAGCCGGAATTGCTGTCATTCGTGAACACCGAAAGCTCAAGACGGAAATTAAAAACAATTATTGCGATCTCTTTCCACCCAGACCAAACCACTACGGATCGGTCGTAAAATCGGCTTTTGTTTTCTCAGTTTGGAAAGTAATATTAGTTTTCTTGATTGATTTGTCCAGCTGACGCTCTTATCCAAACCCGCTCATTCGTAAAAGGTGCCCCGTAAACCTGTTATCAGTGCAAAATTCACCCTGTCCGAGTGCTGTAGATTAAAAAGCCTTCCGATATCGCGATCAGTTATTTCATACAATGACCAAAGGGAGACGGGGCGTTATTAGGCTCTAAAACCGCTCTACAACAAGTGAAATAAAAACGATGCGATACGAATGCAAAACGTTTGTTCAGTGCGGTTTCACCTTGCCTATTCACGAGGAAAGCGATTTTTATTTTCTGTTTGTAAAGGAAAATCTTTGTCTTCTATAATGTCCTATAATGTTTTCAAGCAATGTTTAATTACAGCTGAGCTGGGCGTCACTTGATTAGAGCCTTAATGGGGCGGGTTTGATTAGTCGCCTGTCCGTGAACAACCACATTTGGTACGAAATAGCGGGGTTTAGAGTTACTTGGAATCTGTGTATTAAAGAGATGAAAACTATCGTAGTTACAAGTTAGATGTGTATCTATTGCCATTAAGACAATGGCAATTATGCTGAAGTGCATTTCTAAACCTAGAACAGAAGGAACTGTTTTACACAAAGAGTTGTGGGAGCATGGAACAAGTGAGGGGGGTGTTGAATTCAGTGCCCTGGCTACTTTCAAGAAACATCCTGATTATGATCAGTGAGCTGCTCAGTACCAAACAGGTTGGTGGGGCTGAATGCCCTCTTTGTGTCCTTTTAGCCTTTATGTTCTCATGAAAGTCCGCAGATCTGGGGGTCAGCAGGACCAGAGCTATAAAAACCTCTTGACTAGTCCAAATTGTTTGGTCCTGCAGGTTTTGCATTCCAGCTTCGCTCTTAACGATCTAAACCGGCTCGTTATCTTCTTAATTGGACCAATTGCACAGCTTCTCCCAGCTGCTCCTTTTGGAGCTCCTGCAAGTCCCCTTTGTCCTGGCTCTGCGCCGACCCGGCTGGGCAGCAGAATCGGTTCTGTAGGTCAGGATTCGTGAAGATCTGCGCAGGCGGTGTGTGTGAAGTCGCTGACAAGACGCTGTATTGAGCCCTGCCTGTCTGGTCTCCCTGAATTCACCTGGAGTGTCGGCTGCTGGCTGTCCAAGACCAGAGCGATTTATCACCCTTGGGTGCGACGTCACTGATCAGCTGTACAGTATTTGAGGTGGTGAAGTTTAACAAGGGGCACCTCGTTCTTGGTGGGGTGTCGCCCCTCGAACAATTTTTCCTTCTGGGGGTCCTGTTGCCTGACGAGGGGTTTGTCTACAGACTGAGCAGTTTTGAAAGCTCTGCTCAGCCAGGCTGATGTCCTCAGCTTGCAGGCCACAGTCCATGGTTTACTGCACGGTCTGTCTCGTTTGACTTGATTTTACAGCAGCTCACAGAGATGTAGGGGGATCCCCATTATAAGTCACCCTGCGATACAGTACCTTGTTTCGCATTTATGTCGTCGATGAGCTGGGGAAAACTTTTTCCCCGGTTCCTATAGGCGCTGAGAGCGACATTGGTCTTACTGGATCATGTTGTCCCGGAAAATGGAAATAATATTGTGAAGAGCAAAATCTAACATGAAAAATTCTTCTTGTAGACCCCGCTGTTGCATGTGACTGAGATATTGAATCATTATACCCCAGGATCAAGCTTGCGTAGCTACAATCGTAGTTATGGTCAGGAGCTCAACTCAACTGTTCCATTAATTCGTAAGGGAAAATCTTCCTGATCTGAGTTTCTGGGCAAAGTTCCTGCTCTACACTTCCTAACCTCCATATTTCTGCTGTCCATATGGGGAAAATAAGCCTTATACTGTATGTGCTGTTTTTCTATACATTACAACTTAATGGTCCCTAAACCCGACGTATGTTGGAGACCCCCTGTATAGCATCTCTGAGCCAGGAGGGGGTCCTGTTGAAGTCTTCCTGTTCTACAGCTGCTAGTCTGTGTGGTGTTGGGAGAATGGCTCTATGGTTGAAATGTTGTATGAGGGGACAAACACTCCGGACGTCTTGCAGTAGCTGGAGCTGCTGGTGGCTCGTTGTGGGAGGGGTCCGAGACAGGAGCACTGCCCCTCTGACCCTCGTCTGCTTGTGTGCAGCTTCCAGAGGTTTGCCCAGACCTTCCACCCCCTGTACAAGGAGAGCCCGCAGGTGACCGAGAGCATCCACAGGCAGTTCGTCTCCCAGCTGCAGGACTCCATCAGGGTGAGAGCTGGGGCTGAGGGGGGGCAGAGCAGCCAGCTTTCATAGAAAATGCAGGGAATAGAAGTCCGTGATTTATGTTCTGTGCAGTTGTTATTGAATTGGGATTATAATGGGCCCACAGTGAATAAGACCATTTGCTGTTGAGAGCAGAAGGCATGACTTTACACAGAGAGTGGTGGGAGGGTGGAACAGGCTGCCCAGTTATGTTACTGAAGCCTATAGCCTGACCTCCTTATAGAAAGAGCTGGAAGAGATCCCCAGAGATCAGTTGGTCACTAGCAAACAAATAAACTAGAAGGATCAAATTGCCTTTTATTTTAATCTGTTCTGATAAGGTGGCAGAGGTGCCTTTCCAGCAGCAGGCCCCAGAGCAGTTATTGTGTTCAAGACCACGGGGCGGCCAGCTCGTGGCTGAGGGAGCGGACAGTCATGGACAGAACTAAATTGTGCAGGGCGAACGATACAATACCGACATGACGGTAGTGAGCAACTCTGACAGCACAGTACCTTATTCAGGAATAGTTTTAATTCAGCAGAAAACAGCACTGCTATACCAGAAGTAACAGCACCTTAGTCTGCTGGCCTTCAATACACTACACAGGGCCAAAGAACTAGTGTGCTTTGAGTTTCTGAATGGCAGCATAGCGCCATCTACTGTCACATACCTCTCCTAGCAAGTGGAATACAGACCACTGGCAATTCAGATAAGATCAGATGAGTTTATTGGCCCTATACAATTTCTTGTATTAGGAATTTGTCTTTTCGCATACCCCAACTTGCTCTCCATGAGACTCACAGACAGGGAGAGAAGCTGGGGGTCAGAGCGCAGGGTCAGTCATTTATACGGCGCCCCTGCAGCAGCTGGGGTGAAGGGCCTTGCTCAGGGGCCCAACGGAGTAGGATTCCTCTGCCGGCTGCGGGATTCAAGCTGTGCAGTAGCTTCTCCCTGGTATTTCTGGGTAGGCTGATGGCTCAGCCCTTGTTCTGAGCGAAGTGTGTTGGCGTTGCTCTCCTCTGTGTGCAGGAGGACATCGCGCAGATCGTAGAGGAGGGCGATCTGGAAGTGAAGTTCGAGGAGCTGGACAGGCTGGAGAAGGCAGCCGAGGACAGCATGGAGCTTGCCTGGTGAGGATAACCCACCACCGCTGGTACGGAGTCAGGCAGGGGACTCTCGACGAGCGTTCCTACAGTCGATCTGTCCCGGCGTCCACGAGCATCAGTCCACCGAGACAGCACACGGGTCCCAGAGCACTTCAATTTACAGGTCCCTTGTTTTTTAATCTGCAGGTCACCCTCCTGCATGGAGCAGGTAATCTGCTCTATTAAGAGCACTCTGGTCCCGAGGGCTGGAGAGTCCTGAATGACCTCTGATTGATTCCAGTTAACACATTGCCTGTTTCATTGAGCTCGGTAGAATCGTCTCATGCAGTGTTATGTCCCCAGTATGGCTCAGTCTAGGGGCGAATGGGGACTAACCCATGAGCCAGGGTTTAACGGCTGGAAATGCACAAACAAACAAAAACCAAAAACGCTAATTACACTGTTCTACAACCCAGTACCCTCTAAACCTGTCTCCCGAGACAGGGGCAGCAAGCTGTCTGTCTGCTCTATCTAAACTAGGCTATAATGGAAAACATGGACGCCACAACGATCTCAACCCTACACCACAGCCAAGAAAACAAATCCGATACGTCATACTGTTTCTACTTCCACACTGCTCTCCGGACGTCCCGTATGGGCGTTTAAAACCAGACCACTCTCTTCAGCCAATCCAGAGAGAGACCCAATTTAGGGACAAACCCACCTCCAAAAACGGACCTCCCCATGGGAGGGGAGTCGACAAAACCAAACCAACCAGGACGTAACATGCAGGTAGAAACTGGTGATGTCATGGTGCACGCGGGCTCTCCGGGACCAGGGCTGAAGGCCCCTGTGGTACAGGTGGAGCCCCTGCGGTCCAGATGTTGCAGGTTCGAGCCTGACACTCACACCAGGATCAGTTTTTCAATTAGCCACTTACCCTACCAGCATGTTTTTGGACTGTAAGAGTAAACTGGAGCCCGCAGAGGAATCCCATGTGACCACAGAGAACATGCAGACTCCTCCCATACAGCACCCCCGGGTCTGGAATCGATTCCAGCCCTGTGCCAAAAGCGAGACCTGCGCCGGATCTCGGCTGGCAGGATTGTGGGGCAGAGCGGTTCATGCCTGTCGCTGTGTGTGTGTGTTTGTGCGTCGTAGGCGGCCCAGCGGGGTCCCGGAGGAGGACCTGTGCGGCTTTGTGATGCCCTATTACCTGCAGCAGCAGGAGTACCTGCGCCGGGAGCTCAGGAAGCTGCAGAAGGAGAATGCCAGCCTGGCGCAGAAGGTGCTGGCCGGACGGGAGGCCATCGCCCGCGCAGAGCAGCAGCTCAGCCAGAGCGTGGAGGAGCTGCAGGTAGGAGCGAGGGCCTGCGCCGCTGTTGAACCTACAGTTTCAGCCGTTCATTAAGGAAGGCCTCCCATCAACCAGTCGCCCTTTGGAGATTTATCCAGCTCACTGGTATACACGTCAGTAATACTGACCTTCTGGGGTGAAGGTCCCTCCAGATCTGTAACACCTCCTGAGACTGTGTCACCTGCTGGAAATCGCTGGGCAGGATCTGGCCGAACAGAGACCAGCTGCGGTTTGACAGTCCCGGTATTTTCCGTGAGGCTCGTGTAGGCCTGGCCTGTACGCGGAAGAGGTCAATTCAAAGCATCTCGTATGAGACGCAAACGCCCGGCGACTGGGTGTTACAAACGACATTAAAATAACCGTCACGTGCGTTCTGTAGTTACGGCTCCCTTAACGCCGGTTCTGAAATTCATCTTGTTACTGCTGGAGCTGCGTTTCAAAGCAGGGAGCTGTTGATCTTAAGTTACAGGGCTTCAGTTAAGAGAGCACCGTCCTAAGAGCACACTGAGAGTCTCCTGTCCGACAGGCAAGGGTGCTTTCTTGTGTAGTTCAATTCCTTTATGTTAAGAAATCGGGCAAAGTGTGTTATTTGACTCTGGATGTGGACCCGTTCAGCCGTCGTTGATGGTCTGGGTCAGCTGCACACTTGAATATGCATCCTGTCATTAGAATCTTTAGAGATCCCTCCTCTGTTTAAATACATGCTCTTCTCCTGAACGGGACATTTCTGGTCACAGAGTGATGTTCTGATGTGTACAAAATTACCCTTAATGCTTGTGTTCAGCAGCAGGGAAAGATAAAGATCTGGGTCATAGACTTGCTGTCAGACCTGAACAGCTGGCACTGTGTACATCTACACGCTGTTGTTGCCTAGAGAAATAAGAGGGGAGGATTACACGAATTTGGGACGGCGGTGGCCCAGTTCAAGCCCGTCCAGCTCAGGTGTCATTGTGTTGCCTTTTCTCTCTCCCAGGTGTCGGAGTCGGCCGTGCAGGAGTTTGTCTCCAGTTTGTAGATTGTGGGAGAGACGCTGGGGTCGGATCTTGGACTTTGTGTGGGCAGCCTCTGTTCGTAAAGAAGACTTTCTCTCTCCTCCCCCCCCCTCCCCACAACACCATTACAGACTGTTGCTCAGTAAGAGCCATTTCTTTAACCAGAGAGGTTAGCTGGGAGGGCTTCACGCCTGGGGGGTGAGTCCTAAACTCGAGTGGACGTATCCAGAACACAGACTGGACACACATCCCAGCAGCCTGCAGTTCTCTTGCTGGATCGCACTGGGAATCAACCTCTGGAACTCGGAAAGGCAGTGCACTGTGTAGCCCAGCTGGTTTTCCAGGCCAGTGTCTCCTAACAACTGGTAGACTGGCTTCAAGACGGGTGCCTGGATTGGCATCGGTTGAAGGCATCTGTCCTTTTTCTTGCTGTTAACAATAAACGCTACCTTGTGTTGAGGTTTGTGGCGACCGAGTTTCTTGAAAGGAGGAGACCCTCAGGCCTGAGCCTGGAGGGGGTGCTGTGTGCAGTCGCAGTTGAAGAGTGGGGTGCGATAAAGCCACTAATGAACTTAGGTTATTTGGAACCCAGCAGGGGTGAAAATCTGTGGATGCAGTGGCCACTTAAGACCAGGTTTGGGGACACTTGAAAAACCTGCAGACACACGATTGGGTCCCATATTGAAAGGTGTGTCATTGACAAACTGAAGCCCCAGTCCTTTGTTCCGAGCTCATGGTCTGAAGCTGTGTCTCTTTGTACTGGGTAAGCATGTAACCCAGGGCTATGACACACACAGGGGTCCCGCAGTTAGTCTAAGGTTGTGTGATAAAAAGGTATCAGCTTTAACACCATGGCTGGGAAGCTTGTTCCACACCCCTGCAGCCCTTTGTGTAAAGAGGTGCCTGTGGCTCTCAGTGTAAAGTGGACTTTCATATAGTTTTCCAGTGTGTCCTCTGATTAGTGTTTTGCTGTTTGTTCCCGCTGGGTTCACTCTGTCAGGGCCTTTGTGGATTTAAGATCAGATCACTTTATTGGCCCTATACAATTTCTTGCATTAGGAATTTGTCTTTTCGCATACCCCAGCTTGCTCTCCATGAGACACACAGACAGGGAGAGAAGCTTGGGGTCAGAGCGCAGGGTCAGACATTTTTACAGCATCCCTGGAGCAGCTGTTGTTAAGGGCTTTGCTCAGGGGCCCAACGGAGTTGGATTCCTCTGCCGCCTGCGGGATTTGAACCAGCAACCTTCCAGCCACAGGAGCAGATCCTGAGCCACAGAGCCACCGCACTCCCTTATTTTGGCTACTGTACATGTATCAGGTCCCCATGTGGTGACATAAAAGCTTCAGTTCCTTCAGCTTGTCCGTGAAGAACATTCCCTTAAGCCCCAGAAGGCATCTCTGGTCTCACTCCCGAGCAGTAACATCCTTTCTACAAAGCATTGACCAGAATTGCACCCAGCACGCCACTCTCCCCAGATCGAAGCCACATACCTCCTCTCTAAACAGGCCGAGCTGCTTCCTGTTGTCATTTGGGTCAGTCAGGTGGCAGGTATGGACAGTGAAAGTGAAATGAGTGAAGAGGCAAATTGAATATTTACCCCGATCATGTAAGCTGTAGATCAGTGAGAGATGAAAAGGCTAATGATATTTATAGCACTTACCCAGAAACATTCAGCTAAAAACGCTATTTAAGTGTAAATTGGGGACATTGAGTTCATCATTATTAAATCAGTGTAGTGAAATACCAGTAGTGTTTTCTAGCAGGTGTATTCATTGCACCCAGACTTCTGGCCCAGGTGTGGTCTTTCCAGTGATTCATTATGAGGAAGCTACTTATCCGGGTGAGGGTGGCAGCTAGCTGGAGCCTGTTCTGAGAGCACAGGGCACGAGCATTACTGTGCTGCTAGTCCTGAAGGGACCACACGGCGTAGTGAACAGGTGCAGCCAGCGAAAAACCTATCCACACTTGACAAGAACATGCAAACTCCACACAGATGGCTGCCCGAGGCCGGGCTTGAATCCAGGACCCCGGCGGTGTGAAGCAGCTGTGTTATCTGCCAGGCCTTGTGTTGTTTCATTTTACGCACGAGGAGGTAGTCTCAGGATGGCGTGGAGGCCCAGTACTGGGCGCAGCTCCTGGTGTGCTGTCTGCATGGAATGTGTGTGCTCTCCCTGTGTTCACATGGGGCCCCTCTGGGAATCTGGACTCCTTACATAACGATTCGGCCCTGGTGTGCGTGTGCGTCTGTGTGCCCTGCGATAGACTGCCCCCCCCCCCATCCAGGGTGTACCCCACCTTGCACCTACTGCTTGCTGGGATAGGCTCTGGCTCCTCCACAGCATCTCCAGAGATGTGATGTGAGGGAAAAAGATGCTTAAAAAGACTATTGTTTTTTGTTCTGACTTCTTTAGCAGGGAAAGCACAATCTGAACACTTCTTAGGCAAAAAAATGGGCAAATTCAGCAACGTTTTTTTTAAGAAAAATCTTGCTTGTAAGGGAGCTGTTTTTTTAAAAAAAAACAGTCTCTGAACCAGTCAGCTGAAGAATTGTGAGGCTGCGATGAAATTCACCTGACTGGTTCAGAGAGAGGAAGGCGGGTCTCCTGGGTGGGACAGACAAGATCCCCCCGTTTTTAAAAACCCGTGTTCAAACCGATGTCCATTATCGCCGAGGCTGTTCGTAAACACCGTCCCTCTTAATTAAAGGTCCTCTCCGTGCTCGTTAATTCCCTCCCCAGTCCCCAGAGCCCAGTGAAACAGCTCCTCCGTCGCCAAGCAAGCCCGACCCCCACCCCTCCTCTGCGTGTGGATGTGTAAGGATGAATAAATTAAACAGCCTGGGTTCCGCTGCGAGCGCGGAGGCACAATTAGCAGATCCGTGTTAAATAACGCCCAAGGCGGAGGGCGCTTTGGAGAGGGTCCCGGCTCACGTCTCCCGCGCAGTCGACTGCTGTGTGCGAGAGAGAGAGGAGGGGATTGAGTTTAAGAAAAGCGCTAATTAAAAACGCCGTTCACAGAGCTCGGAGGGGGCACAGGGTGGGGTTGTGCGCCGCCTCTCTCTCGCTCGGGGAGATAATAGAGTCAACAGCTTGTGAAAATGACACCATGAAAGGCGTGCGTGGGGGTGAATACGGGCCCGGATTAGGCCGCTCTGATCGTCGCTATGGGTTACCGCAAGGCCATTATCCGCCTAATAGGATAAGAGGCCGGGGCCTGCCTGGCAGTGGCCAGCCAAGGGCACTTAATATAGCTGTGAGATGGGCCAGGAAGAAAGACGGCCCGTTTGAGTTTAAAGGTATAATAAACAGCTCCATTACGCAGCCCACGGGCAAGCCCTCTCGAATATAAACTAGATGGAAATGTCCTTTTTTTCCCCTTTCTCCTCAAAGGGGCTGAAGCAAGTCCACACCACGAGACCCCTGAGAGGCCGGAGCTGGGTGTGTGCTAACAGTGCTGATCTCTCTCTGTTTCGCCTGACTGTGAGGAGGAGACCGCATTTTTTTTTTTAAACAGCCAGCACTCCCCCCCCTCATAACCCAGATTGTAACCCTTTTGCTTTTATTTTATCTTTGGGAATCACCCTGTACAACTACGAATTACCAATTGATCCACCCAATTACCAGTATCCAGGCTGGTTGCTTGTATAACAGTCAAGCTACAGAATAGAAACCCAGAAAATAAAAGAAATGGGCAGGCTCAGCATCATGAATTGCTCAGGTACAGAAGTTCACCTTCCTTCTTTTTTCACGTTGAAGTTTGGATTTGCCAATAATGGTATCCCCCCCCCCAGTCTGGTGTATCCAAAGCGATGATTCATTTTGCCACGACTCCTGAACTGGCACCAGGGGGAAGGAGGACCACCATGCATTCCGGAGCTGTGGATCGTCTGGTGTAGGCATGCCAGCGGCGATATCATCCTGCAGCTCCCAGCTGGCAGCCCCACTGGAGCTCAGCAGGTGGGAGCCTGGTCAGTACCGCGGAGGGGAGACTCCTGGGAAAGCTGAGGCTGCTGCTGGAAGAGGTGTTAGTGGGGTCAGTAGGGGGCGCTCACCCTGAGGTCTGTGTGGGTCCTAATGCCCCAGTATAGTGACGGGGACACTATACTGTAAAAAGGCACAGTCCTTCGGATGAGATGTCTCTGTGGTAATTAAAAATCCCAGGGTGTTTCCCAGAAAGAGTAGGGGTGTTACCCCGGTGTCCTGGCCAAATTTCCCCCTGTCCTTTACCAGTTATGGCCTCGTAATAATCCCCATCTCTGAACTGGCTTCATCACTCTGCTCTCCTCCCCACTGAGAGCTGGTGTGTGGGGAGAGGACTGGCGCATCATCCAGGTGGGGCTGCACACTGGTGGTGGTGGAGGGGATCCCCATGACCTGTAAAGTACTTTGAGTGGAGTATCCAGAAAAGCGCTATGTAAGTGTTATTATTAAAAGCCAAGACGCAGGTCTTTTGTCTTTTGAACAACACTAATCCTGTCTTCCAGACATTTCCAGACATCACTTCTTCCAGTTCAGGATCATGGGGCAGCTGGAGCCTATCCACAGGCAGGGTCCACCCTGGACGGGACGCCAGTCCATCACAGGGCACACAAACACACCACTCACACCAGGGCCAGTTTTCCCAGAAACCAATGAACCCACCAGCATGTCTCTGGACTGTGGGAGGAAACCAGAGCACCCAGAGGAAACTGGCCTAGATTTGAACCCGGGGCCCAGCACTGCAAGGCAGCAATGCCCACTGTGCCACCAGGAAAGGAAATGCTGAAAACTTTCTTGATTGAAAGTGGATGGGACATCCTTTTGTAGCTTCAGCACTAGAAAGGTTAGTCTCTGACCTGATTGTTCACAAGCACAATCCTGACCAAATAAGTGCTGCTTCTTAATAACATTTTTTTTTAGGTTTTAGGTATGGTGTACAAAAATGACGTAACTGGATAAACTCATTCGTGATCTGAAGCTTTAGAACTGTGTCCTCTGGTGGACTTGTGTGTCCATTACATGTACAAACATTTCTAAATTGATTTCAAATTCTCTTTAGCTAATATGTGCCCACCAACCAACACCCATTCATGCACAATTAGAATAATAGCCAGAAGCCTTTTTCTTAGTTAATTTTAAACCAAAAACAGGAGGCAGTCCTTCATGCAAAGGGTTGTGGGTGTATAGAACAATCTGCCTGGCCATGTTATTTGTGACCAACATTGATATTTATTTTCAAACATAGATACATTAACAAAAAAACAATAAGAACAAACAGGAACACTACAACCAGCATTACAGTACCAGTGAAGTCTTACAAGGCCATGTAATACTAGTTTAACATAGAAATCTTGAACTGTCCTTATGACATTTGTCAGGTGCGCTATTGAGAGTGGCTCGCGTGTGGGATCACAGTGTGGTTTGGCAGTAGCTCGTCTGACCGGAAGGCGTTACAGGGGGTGATCAGGTCAGCCCAGTC